TCAGAGACCGGTTCCCGAGGTAGGACGTTGTTTTCTTTGCCATCAACTTTTTGCGCCAAATTAGACGATCAGTTGTATCCATTTCATTTAAATTTAGAGCTTTCATGTCTTGCTCGATTGTTTGCGACCAGGACTTCTTTGGACGGCCTTTGGGACGTGTGCCAGGTACTTCAACATCTGCAAAAGAAGTTATGGCACTGTTTCCACTTCGTTTGACATGACCAAACCACCGCAGACGGTGTTGCCGGCATTCGTCCTTTGTATCATCTAAACCAGCACGACGCAGGATTTCGGTAGATTTGATGTGGTCCTTAAGACTAATTCGTTGCATCCATCGGAGCATTTTCATGTCGGTTCGTTGAAGTTGTTGTTCCAGTTTGGTTGTCATTGGCCATGTTTCTGCACCATATAACAACACCGGACGTATCACAGATTTATAAAGTCTTGATCGTAGTGGTAGTGGGATGTCAAGCCACATCAATATAGAGGCAAGGAGATGCCATTTATTCCAGGCTGCACGTATGCGTGCTCGAACGGCAGCTTCAGCTGTTCCAGTACAATCCAGAACATCCCCTAGATATTGAAACGATGTGACTTTCTCTATTTTAATGGCTTCAAAAACAGTGCTATTTCGAATTTGTTGTTGTGGACTGATGCAAGCAGGACAAACAAAATTGGACACCTTAGATAAAGTACCAATTATTTTTGAACAACGTTTGTGACACCACTGGTTACACTGCTGACTTAGGTAGTCTGGATTTCTATTTCTGGCTAAAACAGAAAAATTTTTGAAAAATAGAGTCGCAGTGACCTCACTTTGTTTGTTCAGTCAAATATAAAGTGATTAAATTGAAAGGACTGAAAACAAGGTGTCAGCTCATTAAATGAAAATTTGAAATTTTTTAGTTTTTACTTCACAATTTTTAATGACCACTACTTTTCAATAAAATGAAAGATACTACAAAAACATTTATATTAGTTGATGTGATTTTTTCAAAATAATAATTTGATTTTGAATTTATGTTTGAAATGTATTGCTGTATTGCATATTGAAAGATAGTTATATAATTTATTTGCATTATTGCGCAATACTTATTGTTCCCAACGGTATTACACGTTACTCCAAATAATTCACATCCAGTTGCATCTGAATTATCAAATTTCACTCTAATATTTATCATTTCATCCTCGAAAATAGCACATTTTTTTCAACCAAAAATTAAGGTAAGGCTTTCACTACTTTTTTTCAACCAAAAATTAAGGTAAGGCTTTCACTACTTCACGGAAAGTCCACGGGATGGATGGGCATCAATTTGAAAACTAATAGGGGAAGATTTTCACAAATTGAGATCTACAGGATGGATATGCAGTGTGCTGTCAATTGTTATTTGAGTAAATTATGTATGACAAATTCATGCACACATATGTTAAATATTCGTCACCTATTTAGGATCACTCTTGGCAGAATATAACATCACTGAATGGGATAGTCAAAGAGTTAGTCAAATAAATTGATCAAAAATTTGTCTCTTTTTCTGAATTTGTGCCAATACCAAATGTAGAGCAAATGAAGCGGTTCAGTGAAACACCGCTTGAAAAACAATACAATATTTTGAAAAAGATGCATGAACAGTACCTCTCAAAATTGTCTTTAAAAAATGTAAAGTGAATGATTTCTCTTTACCATATCGATACTACCTGCGATGGACATTTTAATATGGCGGACAATCTGAAAATCATTTATGTTGGTAAGTTTGTGATTAACAATAGCCGTCCAGCATGTATAAATGATTTTGAGAAAGGCAAATTCATCAAGGAAATGCTTTGCATGTTGACCAAATTTTTACCCGATCCATTGTTTAAAAATCAAGTCGAAAAATAAGCAAGGATTATTTTGTTTCAAAACTCTTACAGAATAGAAATATGATGAAACCCAAATTTTGTCACCATAGCTTTTAAAATTTGGCATTAAGTTTTAAAAAATTATGAAACAAAGAAAAAATAACATTAAACAGAAAATGCATTCATCAAACAATAGTTACACAACTACATGGAACCCTTACTTCTATAAGAATACTCCCACTCCCACATAAAGGATCACATACAACATCTCCAGGTTGTATTTTACAATGCCTGAAATAATGACACAATATAATACAAGCCATATTTTTTACAGAGAAGATGGGGTGAATTATTAGACACAAAATAATTCAAGAATAAAATTATCACTTTGTAAAAAATCAAAATAACAAAAATTAGTCTATATTTTCCAAAGAATATATTAAAAATGGATAAGCAATGCAAATAAATTTAAAATTGTGGAAAATTTTGCAGATCAGAAATCGGTGTTGTTTAAACAGTGTTAAATTGATTAGTTTAATGATAAAAATCTGCCTATAAAAATAGGAAAAAACAAAATGAAGATGAGAATTAGAAAAATTTTATTTAAAAATTTTTAAGAGAAGCAGTTACCAGAGCATGCCATAAGCAATGGTTGGCTTCAGAGTCGTCCTGCCAAAATTAACAATATTTCTTCTGTGTAGACTTTCTTTTGTTAAGGTGATGCATATTCTAACGTCTTGATCATTAATCAGAAACATTACTTCAATATCAAAGTTATTTAAATCTACAATCCATCCGCAGTGGTCATTTATTTCTCCTCCAAATGAAGAGGCAACTTGTGGAGATTCAAAGCTATGTGTACCTGACCTTTTACAGCTTACTCGATACTTTGGGATGTCAATATTTTTATCATGTATTGTTCTCCACATTCTCACGGCTAATGACCAGTCGACTTCTTTAACAAGTGATCGTACAAACATCAAACTTTCATCCTTAAGCAATAATTTCAAAAACTATTTATAAAAAATATACTCACAGCTTAAAAAACAAACCTTTCCGTTGGGAAAATTAATTTCTTTGAAACGTTTAAGAATTAAATACAAGTTGTCTACGCTTCTTAGCTGGAATACCTGAAATGAAATTAAATCAGCATTTTCTAAAAAAACAAAATAACAACAACAAAAATACGACCACCACGCTGTTTTTAGAATTAGAACCATTCTTATAAAATTTACATAATAATTTGTTTTAAAACATGAAAGCTGACTGTAAATAAATTGATTTTGTTAGATTAGAATATAGTATATATATTCTAATATACACACATATATATATTATATATAAATTTAGTAAAAAATTTTTATAATTGATATAATAATTGTGTACTGGTGTTTTTAGAAATGTACACACTTCTAGAACTAAATTTAAAAAATATTTAGTTCATTTTACTGCTAAAATGTGCTTTCAATGAGTTTTTCAACTGCTGCACGCAAACAATATTATCCAATAAACTAACTAAAAATTGGCTCCGACCTCGATTGGAATCCTGAGGGCCCCCCGGAAGAGGCAAAAACAACAACATCAAAAAAACTAACTTTTTTGAGCTCCATGAAATTTAGACTAAAAATGACTTGTCCGCGATTACTTTGCAATATATTAGCCGACGAAATAGAAAATAATATTTCATCTTGAGCAACGTTTTCAAATCCCGAAACTACCGTAGCCTCGACTTCACATAAGACATCCATATGCGCTATTTGTTAAAGTTAAACTAGTTAAAGTGAAACGGGGTCTGGTAGGTTTAGTTAGTATGATTCGGAACTTAGCAATAACGACCGACCTAAATAAATAATGTATGCAAATTCGGCGCTTGGTTTGTAAAACACGTTGAAGAGAAAATAACGTAAAAGAAAGCTTCATGCATAAGCAAAAAATGTTTTGCATTGAAAATATTTTTAGTTTAAATTTTTTAGTTTAAATTTTTTATTTATAAAAACTGTCACACAATTAATTGAAATGTATATAAGCCGAGCATTTTTCATTTTAGCATTGTTGTTCAATGCCATGTATATATATAATATATCAATGCGTATGTGATATTTGAAAAATGGCAAGTTTATAATTAGCAAATATCATAACAAATCTTAAAAAATTAAACATTTCTACACTCTTTGTTTATAATCAGTATCACGTTTTCAGCCATATGGTTAGGGCCAAGGGGAGGCCTATTTACCAGCATACAACACCTTCTTATTGGTTGAAGCAGGGATATGCAAAGAACCTCAATTTTTTCAACTTTTAATTATTTTCAGTAATGTCTCCCCTTGCTCCAAACCACATAACTAGAATAATAGGACTAATCGATCAATTCGATCTATCGGTCGGGCTATTTGTCGTGCTTGGATTGTTGGCTTACGAAATTGCATAGATTTTAACGAGCAAGTTAAATGAAATATTTACTTTATTTAATATGCTTAAACTAATGTAGTAATTCTATTTAATTTTAATAATGATTAATAGAATTATGTATTATTAAATTATTTTTGTTAATTTGAATATAAAAATTATACTTTTGGTCCTGTGAAATCCGGTGGTTTTTTACTGAAGCCGAAGGTTGGCTTAGTAGGATTGAACTAAAGTCACCCTTTTTTTTACACTGTTCGATCATGTTAAAAATTTGTTTGCTTATGAAATAAACGGCCTAAATAAATCAAAATTGATATTTGAACAACTATCTTCATTATATTCAATGAATATTTTACATTCTGCTGAACAGTTCACAACATATCATAATGACTAAATCAACATACTAAACAGAAATAATTTATACATGCATATATACAAAGTAAACCAAGAAATATCCAAAAATTATATAACCAATTTAAAAAAAAACTAGAAACCAGTCAACATTTAATGAATAAATAAATAGACATTATTAAAAAGATTGTTCAAAAAGGTACAATTTAAGGCGACGACGAGAATGAAATGTAGTTTGTTTTGTTGGTGTGGTGTTGTGAAGCGAAAACAAACAAAACTAGTAAGAAGTCGCAAGAATAATAGTCAGTCACCTACCTATAATAAAATTACTCTCAGGGCCCTAGCTTACTTATAAACATTGACTCAACTCACTTACCTATATATTTGTATTTCTCGTTTTAGATGTTTCAAGTATTTTATTTAACATATTTCAGCGTTTTTATTTTACTTGAAGCTTTTTAACTAATGTTAAGCCCTAGCCTACCAACAATTGTTTAACTCATCTCAGTCCCTAACTTACCTATGAATTAAATTAAAGCCCGGTTCACGGTAAAGAAAATATAAAGTTGAAGAGAAACATAGCAACAACGACACCGAATGAATGGATGTTGTGTATGTATGTGTTGTATTGATGTGTGTATGTAAATGTGCGGGCGCGCACTCTCCAGAAACTTCACTCACTACGGACGAACCTCCATTGCACCGACCATCATCTGACACGCATCGATGGGATGAATTTGACCGGATACTGAAAAATAAATTGAAAAAAAAAAATTAATTCACTAAAATAAAAAAACAAGCAATTTGAAAAAATAGGAAACTTATCTTTTTAAGATAACACTCAATCTTTGTTCAAATTCGAGTACTTTCAAAGGTACAATGAGACAAAAACAAATTTACCTTTAACATTATCTTCGATTTGTCATCGGAACGATCATCATGAGACCACCATCTGAAACGTGCTGACGCCCAACACGGCCCACCTCTCATCATTCTGTAGACAAGTTTTTATTAATTAGCGAAGTAGTAAATCAAGAAACAAAGGAACGAACGAATAAATGATTAACTGAATGATTGAACGATTGGTTGAATGAATGAATTAAATAATTAATTAATCAACCAATGATTTAATGAATGAATAGAATGAATCGGTGAATAAATTAACTGAGGAATAATTTGAAAGATAGTGATAAAATGAATGAATGAATGAGAAAAATAAAAAAAAAAAGAAACTAAATCATACTTCAAAAACCGTCCTTGTTGTTATCTTCGAATTGTCATCGGAACGGACCTCCATCTTAAACGTGCTGATGCCCACTACAGCCCACCTCTCATCATTCTGTAGACATTTTTTAATAACGTATTAGTAAATCAAAGAACAAAGGAACGATCGAATAAATGTTTAACTGAATGATTGAATAATTGGTTGTATGAATGAGTGAATGAATGAATTAATTAATAAATCAATGATTCAATTAATGAAAAAAATAAATTAACGAATCAATTAATGGAAGAATAATTTAAAAAGTTGAGTGATAGAATGAACGAATGAGAAAAATAAAAAATGAAACTAAACGTTACTTCAAAAATCGTCGTTACCGTACTTTCCATTGCACCGACCACCACCATCTGGTCGGCACACAAAATACTATCCGAACTTCAGAGTGTCAGTCGAACAGCCAGCGAGCTGATTCTTCCTACACCACCATCATCATATGTAGATCATCATGAGACCACCATCTAAAACGTGCTGACTCCCACCACTGCCCACCTCTCATCATTCTGTAAACAAAATTTTTTTATTTGCGTAGTAGTAAATGAATGTTAGAATCTTAGAAGCAAAAAAAATAAAATTATAAAATGAAAATAATGTCAAATAAATAAAATTTTAAAATAATAAAGTAAGAAAAATGTAAAAAAAACTTACCGTCGTCCATTCGACAAAGGCAGAATGTTGAATGCGGTCCGGTTCCTACGTTGTCCTCCAAAACTGGTGCCAGTCCTCCTCGAGGTTGTTGTTGAAACACAGCCCGTGTTGATGGAGAAAGATAGAGAAAGAGTAGATTCTCATCAGAAAGCTTAGCGGTGCCTGCATCTCAAATTGCTTAATAAAAATAATCCTATCTACCTATTCAATTACCTTAACAAATCTACATTAAATTGTTAATGGTACGATAGTAGAAAGTCCCCCTTCATTCTTCCTCCTTGCACAGAGGTTCACCGACAGCCAGGGCACCGGATAGTAAACCATTGCCGTGCGGATAGTAGACTATTGCCGTGCGGATAGTAAACCATTTGCCGTCCGGAAGCCGTGCGGGTAGTAGACAATGGCCGTGCCACATGGTAAATCATTACCGTGCAGATAGTAAACCATTGCCGACCGGATAGTAAACCATTGCCGGTACACCACTGGCCACCAAGACTTACCTCTGATAACAGACTTCGAAATTCAGAGTCTATCGGCTATCGTACCCTCAACTTACCTATTCATTACAATTAAGCCCTAGCTTACCTAAAATTACAAAAATACTCAAGAGCCCAATTCATTTGCTTTTCGGCACCCACCCCACCACCTACGTAATGCCTTGGGCTCCAACTTAGTAATAATAATATAAAACTTAAACCCTAAATCTATTAATGAGTATGTGTTACAACGTAGCCTTAACCTACCTATTCATTACATTATGGCCCTAGGTTACCTAAAATTACAAAACTCAAGAGCCCAATTCATTGGCCTTTCGGCACCCACCCCCACCACCTACGTAATGCCCTGGGCTCCAACCTAATAATAATAATGTAAAACTTAATAACTAACTTACCTCTCGATACACTTACAGCGTTTATTTAATTTAAATTACAAGATTGTTCCTAGAATTAAAATATTGCTTTTAACTACCTATGAAATTAAATTACTCTCAACCTTAGTAATAATAAATTAGATTGTGTAAGGAAAATAAAATAACGCTCAAATATAATAATATGTGTTTATGTATGTATTTGTATATTAGTATACATAAATACTAATATGTGTTTATGTATGTATTTGTGTGTGTGTATAATACGCTGATGCGTGTAATGTGGGTCGAGAAAAAATCGAAGAGATAAACTTACGCTGCCTACCTATTCAACTACATTAGTGTTGGATGCTTCCTATATATCCTACCTACAATTA